TTCAGCTGGGTGAGTTGGTGAGCCCGTCACAACAGTCAAGCATCCAGACTCTGAAAGAGAAGGAGGGCCTCAGCAAAGACAGTAATGACAGGAGAGGCAAAAAACGTAAGAGGAAATCCAGCAATCCCAACCCACTTAGCTGCCTGAAGAAAAAGAAGAAACCCATGCCTCAGCAGCCCAAAAAGACAGACGGAGAGAAAAAGAAGCGGAGTAGACCTAGGAAGCGACGGCCTGCTGGGACAGAGGAAGCGGCAGTCACCTCCAATCCCACAACTGCATAGAGACAAGCCTCGCTTCTACAAGAGTAGCATTTATTTGTTTCTCAGCATTTGTTATTGTAAGGTTTGTCCTTTATCCAGACCAGGCATTTGTGCCAGCAAACGCCTTGTTTTGTCTAATAAACAAGTGTTTCTTTTATTATCAATACCTGTTTTGTTTTGTTTTTGTGACCATTTAAGGTTTAATTATTTGAGATTAGATTAGATATGTGCTTTGTGTTTTTATAATGAAAAATATATGACCAGAGAGAGAGCACGGAAAGCTGTGGTTGGCTTTGTGTTACAATGAGGAATATAGGTACAGATATATATGTGTGTGTGTTTAATATTGTTGGAAATGTTCAAATATGTGACCCTGGACCACAAAACCAGTCATAAGTAGCACGGGTATATTTGTAGCAATAGACAACAATACATTGAAAGGGTCAAAATTATTGATTTTTCTTTTATGCCAAAAATCATTAGGCTATTAGTTAAATATCGTGTTCCATGAAGATATTTTGTAAATTTCCTACCATAAATATATCAAAGCTTAATTTTTGATTAGTAATATGCATTGAGAACTTAATTTGGACAACCTAATTTTTGCACCCTCATATTCCAGATTTTCAAATAGTTGTATCTCAGTAAAATATTATCCTATCCTAAAAAAAACATGCATCAATATTTATCCAGCCCTCAGGTGATGTATAAATCTCAATTTTAAAAAAATGACCCTTATGTTTTGTGGTCCAGGGTCACATATGATTAATAATAATTTAATAATATTTATTATTATAAATTATTATTACAAAGTAATAGTGTTTTAATATTATTATTTAATAATAATTAATGAAATGAAGTTTAAAAGTCAGAATTTGAGGTATCAGAGGGCAAATGGGAGTTTATATGTAAATGTAATTTTTTTTTTTTTAGTTTTTTTTTACCACAAGAGGGTGGTATAGCCTCCAAGAGCCCACCAGGCTGGTTCTTATGTCCAATAAGTGTGATCTTGTGAGGACTGCATTTATTAATGTTACATTACATGAATATTGCTTCCCAATGCTTTTGCATGGGAATTTACCACATGCACAATATGTTTTTATGTAGGTAATTTTTATCAAATTGGCTAAACTTTTTGTAGGACACTAGAATTTAAGTCTGGTGATTCATGCATGGCAGAGGTTCTGAAAGAGAACCGAAAGGCCAGGCAGACTCTCTTTTCATGGATGAAGAGAACTTGGTCCCATTCTGTCTCTTTGAATGTCTGTAACGTCAAAGACTTTGTTGGTTTGATCTATTGGGTTTAAATATAGCCTCAATTGTGTCTTCACTATTTTTGTCCCGAGTTGGGATGTATTGCTTATTTGTGCAGGTTGCTTGGGAAACGCAGAGAGGACATGACAGCATGCGGCTCCACATGGCTGCCTGGGCGGTTCACAACCAATGACTTTAGACCCATGAGTAGTTTAAGGATCAACAGTGGCTACTGTGGGAATAAAAAATATTAGTTCATACTAAAATCTGCATGGGATCAAAATCAAAGCTATGACCTGACAAATGTAATTTGTGATCTATTCAGTCCACAGAGGTCCACTTACTATTTACCATCCTGGCACTGCCAAGGATATTCCTCCAGCTGTCTTCACTAGTACTTCCTGCAAAGCCATAGCAACTCCAGATCCGCACGTCATCTATTCAACTGCATTAAACATTTACAAAGCTCATGGCAAATCAGAAACACTACAGGCGAGGCTGACGTCAGTCTCTCTACGTCACTCCCTTGCACATAAACAGACCTATGTCGCATGCAAAATCAGAGTGTGCGCATGTTTATGGCGTGGCAGGGGGTGAAGGGAGGGGGTGTTTTAAGTGTCCGTCCCAGAGCGGACTCGCCAGTAGTGGACAGTGTGACAAGGAGATAAAACAGTGACTGATCTGTATGTACAGCTGACAAGAAGAACAGTGAGCTCTCTGCGCCTCATCAGCACTTCTAGAAACAATGGAAGTAGTTCTTACCAGACTGAGAGATTTCTCCTGTAAAGAAACTTCTTTTGATCACTGTAAAGCAGCAGTGATGTGCAAGGACCATTCCTCATCCCAGGAGGTGTGCAGAGGGAAGCGTATGGCTGGAGAGGAGGATGCAGGCCGGCTGGACATTGAGACTGCACTGGCCTGGCTGAGGAAGGAGCTGGTAAGATTTCATGTAATACAGTTTACTACATTATTAGTCATTTGAATGCAAATATGAGGCAATTTTGTTTTCCCATGATAACATTTTACCTTCAGCAAGGGCACAGATCCCAGGGGCAGGGGGATTTTAAGGGAAACCAATTTACGGAAAATATAAAATTCTAATATATATATTATTATGTAATATAGTTGTTTTACCTGGTGTATCTTACTTTTTGTCTTACCACTTAACTTGTCATATTTTGCAATACAGTTTATTTTGTTTTCAACCACTTTCTTATAAAGAATAATCGGTAATTACACACAAAAATCCTAACTTATAAATTCTTATTAATTTAATTATTTTTTTATTAATTTAATTCTTTTATTGTTCTATATTTTGGCAGATTGTTTATATTAAAATGATAATTAT